TATTCTTGTTTGTAAAGACAATTATCTTGGTGTATATAGTGGAAGTGCCTTTGGAGAAAAAGCACAAGAAAATAAAACTGAATGTGGAGAATATATTGCTGCAGGTGATAAATATGTTTTTGTAAAAAAAGGAAAATCAATTAGTTTAATTGAATTAGATCAATATGGTAGAGCAGGGAAAATCAAAGATATTAAATTTTCTAGTAATTTAACACAATCAGAAACATTTGAATATGATCCAATTATAGCTAATCAACATAACACATTATATGTTCAAGTATCTGACCAAAATTTAATGGTTGTTTTTGATAAAAATACTGATTATGAAAAAGAAGCAACTATTTCTTTACCTTTTTATGGATTAAATAAAACTACTATCTATAACCCAAGAAATGCCAATAACCTTGCAGTTTATGGAAGTATGATTATTGTTGGTGTTTGGACAAGTGGAAATGGAAAAGGTTCAGTTTATATTTATTTCGATAATCTACTTTCAGGGTATTCTCCAAGATTTGAACTTCTTGAATCTTATGAAGGTAATGCTGTTGGTGATTTTATTGGATTTTCAGTTGGACTAAATCATAAAAGGTTTTATGTTGGTGGTGTTATTTCTTTTAATTCACAAACAAATGAACCAGATTGGTTGGAAGTAATAAAAAATTCAAAAAAAATAGCAGAGTCATGTGATGATAGAACATGTGAATGTATTCATGATTATTACTATGATTCAACAAATAAAGTTTGTGTAAAAAAATTCTTTAAATCTAAAGCAGGAATTATTCTTGGATGTGTTATTGGTGTTGTTTTATTACTTATTATTATTACTATTATTGTTATATTTTGTATTTGGTTCTTTAAAAAACCAGTTGAAGATAAACCACAAACATATAGATTAGATGGAAGTGAAGTTGATTTTACTTTTAATGAAAATTTCCCATTTAAATTTGGAAGTGAAGAATTACGTTTTGGTTCAGAAAAAGCACCAGTTGAAATTAATAAACCACTTCAAGAAAAAATAGTTATTACTAATCCTTCAAAAAAATCATTAAAATATAAAGTTGAAGCACCAGAAACACATAGAATGAAAGTAACAGTTTATCATGGAGAAGGTGAATTAGAAAAAGGATTTGGAGTTACATTAACAGTTGAAGTTATTGTGTTATGTACTTGTAGAACTGATGAATATTTAACTGTTTCTGCTATTGATTCTAAAGGTGAAACATTATATGCACGTATTCCAATTAATATAGAAAGTGTTGTCTCTCCATATATTGATTACACTGAAGTACAATGTGATGTATTAATTGGAGAAGGGGCATTTGGTGGAGTATTTAAAGGAGTTTATAGAGGACAAACTGTTGCAATTAAAGAAAGTAAAACTACATTAACAGAAAAAGATAAAGAACAATTTGAACAAGAAGTTAGTACTTATTCAACAATAAGAAATGAGTATATTGTTCAATTTATTGGATCATCAAATGTACCAGGTCATACAATGATGGTTATGGAATATGCACCATTTGGAAGTGTTAAAAAGGCATACTTAAAAGATGAATTCACACAATTACTTGCAATTAAAGTACTTAGTGATTGTGCTAAAGGAATGAGATTTTTACATGCAAATAGTATTATTCATAGAGATTTAAAACCAGACAATTTATTACTTTTCTCTTACTCACCAAAAGTTCAATTTGCTGCTAAAATATCTGATTTTGGAACTTCAAAAAATATTTTATCCATTAAACAAAGTGCTTCAATGACAAAAGCAGTTGGTACTCCTGCTTATATGGCACCTGAAATGATTAGTGGAAGTGATTATGGAACTCCTGTAGATGTTTTTTCATTTGCTGTTGTTGCATTTGAATTACTCAGTAAATCAATGCCATATTCTAATCAAGATTTATTCCAACACAATTGGGATATTGCTGATTTCATTAATTCAGGTAAACGACTTGCAATTCCAAGTTCTGTCCCAAAAGAAATGGCTGATCTTATTACTAATTGTTGGAGTCAGGATCCTAGTGTTCGTTGGACTTTCCAACAGATTGATGAATTCTTAGACGAATATTTCAAAGAACAATTCGCTCGTAGAAAGAGTGTAAAAGGTGTATCATCAAATCTTGAAGATGATATTAATTATGAACAATCTACTAATACAGAAGACGGAATTTTGAAAGATACAGTGGAAGAAAATCCAATGACTTCAACAAATATTATTTCATTACTCGACCAAGATATCTTTTAACTAATTTTGTTGAACAATAATTTTTTTCTTTTTAAATATAACTGAAAATCACAAAATAAATATTAAGAGTGTTCAATTAACTAAAGAATTAACAATTAATATCTTATTTCTTAATGAGAATCTTTTAAAATTATTAATGTCTAGAATGACCATTTAATAGTGATAGAGATGTAATAAAAAAAAACAGGTGTTAGTTAGTGTTTGTTTAATATTACTTAAATGTTAATTTTTACTAAAAAGTATTTGAAAGCATAGTTAGTCAACAAAAAAGAAGTTTATTAAAAACTATTTTCATTGTACGTTTTGATATTTTTTAGATTCTTCCAATTATTAAATCTAACCATAAATAACTCAAAGAATTTTAATTAAGAAGCCCAATTCGATTTAAAAATTATTAAGTATGTTTCTAGTTCTTAAAGAAGAAAGAAATCAATTTACAACAGTTTACTCAAATAAAAGTTTAAGAAGTATTTGTTAATTCAAACTATGATAGTTATAACATAATGAATAATTTTTTTGATTCAACAATAAAGGCATTTTATTAGTCTAATAAATATTAATTTGAAAGGAAATAAATTTAAAAGGTTATTTCCAAGAACCATTATATGGAAAAAAAATTAATGGTTTTCTTTTTTTTTCTTTAGTCTTGTGGAAAAATTGATAAGATGGTATAGTTTCCTATTATTGATTTTGATTATGTTTTTTTATAAGAAGACTTTATAATGAATTATTATTTAAACTCGCACAAAATGGAAATATATTTCAGTTTATAAAAAAGGGATGTGGTATTAACACATATCACCCACATTTTTATTGACAGTAAAAATTATAAACAAATACTTTATGGTTCTAATAATTTAAAATACTACATTTAGGAGTAATTATATGAGTCATAAAAATAGAAAGGATGAATTTACGTTTTCCTTTTAACTTTTAAATGATTTTTGATTTTAAAAGAGAATGATGACGTGTCAATAACAATTCACACGTAAAAAGAGATAAAAAAAAGATTTAGATAAAAGGAATCAAGATAGTTAGAGAAGGACTAAAATAGAAAGAACACATCATTAGGAGGTGGTGAAGATTAATGAATTAATAAGCAATTAAAAAGATATTTAAAGCATGAAACTGTGAACTTGAAAAAGCATATACAATAAATAAATGGGAAAAGATTATTATGAAATCTTAGGAGTTGATAGAAATGTTAATGAAAATGATTTGAAAAAAGCTTATCGAAAACTTGCATTAAAATGGCATCCAGATAGAAATCCAAACAATAAGGAAGAAGCAAGTGAAAAATTTAAAGAGATTGCAGAAGCTTATTCAGTATTATCTGATCCTAAAAAGAAAGAAATTTATGATCGTTATGGTGAAGATGGTTTAAAGAGTGGAATGGGAGCTAATGGATTTTCTAGAGAAGGAGGATTTCCAGGAGGGACATATACATTTACTAGTAATGGTGACTTTAATCCATTTGATTTATTCAATGAAATGTTTGGTGGAATGGGTGGAATTCCAAAAGGAGGAAGAAGTAAAAGAAGTTTCAATATGGGAGGAATGCCAAGAGAGTTTGGAGGATTTAGTGGATTTGGAATGCCACAAGGAGGAAGATATACATTTAATACAGGAGATGATTCTTCTATGAATGAAGATTTTGGTAAACAGAAAGGTGAAGACGTAATTGCAAATGTCAATTGTACTTTAGAAGAATTGTATTCTGGATGTAAGAAAACTCGTAAAATTACAAAAAATATTACTCATTCAAATGGAACAACAACTCAAGAATCAAATAATGTTGAATTAAATATTTTACCAGGATGGAAAGATGGAACAAAAATAAGATTTGAAGGATATGGTGATGAATCACCAAATGTTGAACCTGGAGATATTGTGTTTGTAGTTAAAACAATACGACATCCATTGTTTACAAGAGATGGAGATAATTTACATTGTACAATAACAATTAATTTGCTTCAATCCTTAACTGGATTTAAATTAACTATACCATTCTTAGATGGTTCTGAAGTAAGTAAGAAAATAGAAAATATTATTACTTCTGATTATGTTGAAGTAATTAGGGGAAAAGGTATGCCAATAAGAAAATCACCTGGAAATTATGGAGATTTATATATTCATTTCAAGATTCAAAATCCTACATATTTATCACAACAACAAAAAGATGATTTGAAAAAAGTTTTGAAAACAGTACACAATTGGGCTTAATTAAATTTTTATTTGTTATTAATTTTTTATTTAAAATTAAACTAATAAAAAAGTAGAATACAACATTTAATGAATGTTCTAATACTATGTCCCTTACGTCTTCCATAAAAGAACAACAATAAATAAACTTTTCAATGTCTCTCATTTCGTCATCTATTCCTCCATTGTATTTCTTACAAACATATACATTTTCTAATTTTTTCCATGCAGAAGGATTATCATCAATACAAATTATTCGTTTAACATTATAATTAATATTATGAATGGTTTTATAAATTAATCCTTCTTCTTCAAGACAATCTTCTCGATAAAGAATTTTAGAAAATAATTTACAATTTTTTTCTAAATGATTAACAACTTGGTCAGCATATTCTTTTCTTGACGCAGTATAAATCATGATTTGAAAACGTTTTGAAAGTCTTTCCAATGTTTCAATAACTCCTTTTCTTACTTCACAACAATATTTTATTTCATTGACCCTAATTGTAAATGCATCAGATGAATCAATGCACGCACTATTATTACTTATGTGAGTATGAATAAGAGTATCATCCAAATCAAACACAACCAATAATGGACATTCTTTTTGAATACCTTGAAATGACACAGACTCTCTTTGATTGTCTATTGAAGTGATGTTATTGTGGTTTATTTTATTCATTAAGACAAAATATAAACATTATAGATCTTCTCACTATGGCTTCTTTCATTTTATTTATGATTCAAGTTTTATTATTACCATCATTTGAAAAACACATTTTTATTTTTAAAAGATAAAAAAAATAAGAAAATTTGTGACATAAATAGTAGTTTTCATTACGTGGAAATTACGGTTGAACACGTACAACAACGGTTATAAACAACACTTTGAACTCTTCTCTTCATTCATTAAGTATTATGTCAATTAAGGTCGGTATTAATGGTTTTGGAAGAATTGGAAGACTTGTTGCTAGAGTCGTTCTTGAAAGAAAAGATTTTGAATTAGTTGCTATCAATGATCCATTCATGGATCCAAAATACATGGTTTACTTATTAAAATATGATACCGTCCATAGACAATTCGAAGGAACTGTTGAAGCAGGTGAAAATGCTATTATTGTTAATGGACATAAGATTGTTGTTAAAGCTGAAAGAGACCCAGCTCAAATTGGATGGGGAGAACTTGGAGTTGATTATGTTGTTGAATCAACTGGAGTTTTCACTACTATTCCAAAGGCTGAAGCACATATTAAGGGAGGAGCTAAGAAAGTCATTATTTCAGCCCCATCTGCTGATGCTCCAATGTTTGTTGTTGGAGTTAACACTGAAGCATACAAACCAGAAATGAACATTATTTCAAACGCATCATGCACAACTAACTGTCTTGCACCACTTGCTAAAGTTATTAATAATGAATTTGGAATTGTTGAAGGTCTTATGACAACTATTCATGCTACTACTGCTACTCAAAAGACAGTTGATGGACCATCAGGAAAAGATTGGAGAGCAGGTAGATGTGCATGTGCTAACATTATTCCAGCTAGCACTGGAGCAGCCAAGGCTGTTGGAAAAGTTATTCCATCTCTTAATGGCAAACTTACTGGTATGTCATTCAGAGTTGGAACACCAGATGTTTCATGTGTTGATTTAACATGCAGACTCGAAAAAGAAGTAACTGTTGAATCAATTAAAGCTGCCATTAAGAAAGCATCAGAAGGAGAAATGAAAGGAATTCTTGGATATACTGAAGACCTTGTTGTTTCATCAGATTTTGTCCATGACAATAGATCATCAATTTTCGATGCAGCTGCTACTATTCTTTTGAATCCACACTTTGTTAAATTAGTTTCATGGTATGATAATGAATGGGGATATTCTAACAGACTTGTTGATCTTATCCAAATCATTTCTAAAGTTCACTAATTAAGTTAACTTCTGTTTTAATATTATTTATGTGTTTTAAATAAAAATATTAAATTATAATTTCTTAATTTGTTGTATGAGATTATTTTTTATGATTCAATCACAGTTTGAATTTGGATATATTTATTTTTTGAAAATTATAGCAGGTGTGTAGTACTTAAAAAATAGAAGGTATAACTTATTAAAATACATGCTATAACAAATAATACATAATAAGTAATGACTGACAAGTTAATTCATTGAAACAGATATTAAAAATACACAACAATAAGTTTTTTATTTTATTAGCTAACTAATAAGGATATCATATAGTTATAACACAATGCACAAAGACTAATGTTTGAAATATTTGGATAATATTTTAAGATTAATGTTCTTGATATAAATCTTCAACATAACTTTTTTTATTAACTGAATTAGATTTTCTATTTAATTATTATTGAACAAGTGTTCTTAATAACTTTAGACAATGAATATAACAGCTCTTAGGAATTGATTAAGTATTTTTTGTTAAACCTTATTAAAATAATGAATAAATTTATTGTCTTAAATAAAAATTAATTTTATAAAATATAGAATATGTCGTTAATTTAAAAATATTGATAATTCATTGTTATATATTTAAATTTAATTTATTTATTAAAAATTTCATGAATTGGATTAAATAATACCTATCTAAAAATAACTATTATATAAACTAAATATTTTCTTCTACTTCTTTCAAAATGAATGTTTAATATAATTGGAAGAAAATATTTAATTTAATTATTTTTAATTTTTCTTTTCATAAAATAATTATAATATTTTGTTGTTTTTTTATTACTTAAAAGTTTTTTAAATAATTTTAAAGTTATAATATTATAATACTTTATAAATGGAAAAAAACAAAAATTTAAAATTACTTAAAGATTTACCAGTTTTTTTAATTTATTGAATTTAAAATTACAAAAAATATATAAATAAAAACAAACTAAGGAAAAAAGATAACTATAATTAAAAACTAACAATTTAAAAAAGTTTTTTTTTGATAATTCTAAAATAGAAAGAAAAAAAATAATAAACTATTAAAAAAATACAAAAGAATTTTTAATAAAGAGTAGAATAAATAACAAAAAATAAAAATAACACAATTAATTTACATTTTAACGAAATCAAAGAGAGTTATTGGTGATAACAAGATTTGAATTTTCATTAAGTGATTGAACAAGGGTAATATGATAATTCTTACCAAAAAACTCTACTTGTTCTCGATTAAACATAAAAGATCCATTGTGAAATATTTGTTGAATTGTTTCACTTTTAGCAATACCATTCTTCCCTTGTGATTTTGTTGTATTAAAAAAATAACCAAATTCACTGAGAATATCCATTAATAAATGAAGGCATTCAGTAAATTTATTATTTTCATATCGACGAAGAGATGTCTTTTCTTTAACACCTTTTTTTCTTTCCATTTCACTTATTTCCTTACATCTTCTTTCAATATATTCAGTAATGTTAATAGAATAATTCTTAAATCTTAATTCCTTAATATAAAGGAATTGTAAAGTTGTTGTAGTTCTTTTAGAAGGTCTTCCAAAAACAACATCACAATAAGGTAAAAGCAATTTAATCAATATTGATTCTTGATAAACTTGATAATTTTTATATATTTGGTATTTATTTTGTTGTTTTACACTGGTGTTTATTTGATTAGAAGCCATTTATTAAAGAAACTTGTTCTTGCAACCCTTTAAATTTCATTATCTCTGTTTATATAAAAATAGATTTGGAGTAAATAAACAAATAACTAATCACTTGGAAATTATAAATAAAAAAGGATCTATGTGCTATTTTTATGTTTTTACCATTTTTTTTCAATTGAAAATAGAAATATTTTTATTTCTGGAAAATCTTTTTCTAAAATTGAATTTGGAATATTTATTTTTGTTTTTTGATTTTTTTTTTATTATTTTTTTAGTTATTGATTTTATAATTCTATTTTTAATTAGAATAAAATAAAAACAAAAAATAACTTCTAATTTTTTTTTTGAATCATAAAAACAACTTATTCAACATCATAAAAAGATTTCATTAAGATTTCACTATCTTGAACATTATTTTTATGAAAGACAACCCCCAAAGTTTTAAGTGGAGCGTTATCCTTCTTATAAACAAGTTCTTTTTTCTTTTGATAAAGTTCCTGGGTTTTCTAGACTTTAACGCGTTTAAAAAATAACCTTGTTTTGTTTTTTGAAACCATTATAATTTGATTTGTTGAGATTAGGTCAACTGTGTTATGCAACTACTTGCATAGTCCTATTTATCAAGTACAATATAAGTATATATTATAATTTATTTTTCTTTTAGAAGAAACAATATAATTGTTTTGTATTTAATTATGCAATACTAATAAATAAAAATTAAACTCAATTATAGAATCTGAAACATGCATTAGTCTTGAATAAGAACACTTTAGATTAAATCAAAAATTAAATTTTATAAATATTTTTGATTTTGTCAAAACCTTCAATTTTCAAAAAACAAAGAAGAAATACCCCGATTCTTTTTTTTTTAAAATAATTTTAAAAGGTGACAATAATGATCATTACTCCACTAATAATTGAGACAATTGCTTTGTTAGTTTTTTATTTACTTCTCATTTCTTTAATAATAATATACTTCAACTTGGAACAAATATGAAAAAGATAAAATAAAAATGTGTGAGTTTTTTATGTTAAAAAAAAACATTTTTATTTGCGTAAGATGATACTTTATTATTGATAAAATTCTAATCCAATTTTTTAAGTAACAACTTGTGATAATGTTTTCAATTTTGTTGGACTATTGTTATACAGATAATTGTATACTAAGTACAGATAATATTCAGTAATACCAATGACTTGAAAATCAACATACAATTGTTGACTTTTCTTTTGTAAAGAACATTTAGACTATAGTTTTAATTCAATTTCTTTTTTATATTTGAGATTTCTTATTAACTTATAATTAGTGAATAGAACCAAAAGAATTCACAATTATTCTTTTCTTTGTTAACTAAAGGTTATTTTCTTTTCAACACTTTAAATAGACACTGTAATTCAATGTATCCAGGAATGAATAAAATTGAAAATGAAATAGTAAATTTATTGTTGAAAGAAACTTTGAAATACTAATAGTTCAGAAGTGATTGCTGGTGATATATAATACTAAACTATTAAAGAATAAGACATTTAATCAAATAGATAACATTAGTATATGTGCTAGTCTTATTAGCCAATTGAACGAATATACTAATTAAAGTTAATACTATTAAGTATAATAAATTTTGACTCTTTTAACTAACATATTCTTAAAAAAAAATAAGTATGAGTAATTATGAAGGATTAAAAGTTTGTTATTGAAAGTAAAATTACTATTTAAACTTGATTGTTAGTTTTTTTTATTCCATTTTTAAAAACAATAATTATAAAATATTAATTTGTTTTTTATCTTTAATGTAATTACCAGTAAATCGTATTATGGAAAAAAGGAAATCTCAAAAATAAAATCAAAAAAAGATAAAATAAAATTAGATGACCGAAAGAAGACACGTTCATCAAAGAAATGATTTACTTATTGCTAAAAAACCTGAAGAACCACTTCCATCATTAGAGGTTACATCATTAGGAGAATGTAAATACGAAAATACATATGCATCTCCTGAGCCTTTTGTTAATGGAATGAAAATGTCTATGTCTGCTATTAAAATTGATGGAATACCTGTTAATGAGTGTGAAGTAGATTTAGCAGGACCAATGGAAAAAATATTCTTTATCCCAGAAAGAACCAAAGTTGGAATAGTAACATGTGGAGGATTGTGTCCAGGATTAAATAATGTTATTAGAGGCTTAGTTATGAACCTTCAAAATAGATATGGGGTTAAACAAATTTATGGTTTAAAATATGGTTATGAAGGACTTGTTCCTGAATTATCTGAACAAATAAAATTAGACACCCTTACAGTTAGTGATATTCATCAAAGAGGTGGAACTATTTTAGGTACTTCAAGAGGAGCTCAAGACCCTAAAGTTATGGCACAATTTCTTATTGATAATAATTTTAATATTCTTTTCACATTAGGAGGAGATGGCACATTAAGGGGTGCTAATAGAATTAATAAAGAATTAAGAAGAAGAGGTAGTCCTATTGCAGTTGTTGGTATTCCTAAAACTATTGATAATGATATTTGTTATACAGATTCTACTTTTGGATTTGATACTGCTGTAGAATTAGCACAAGAAGCAATTAATTCAGTTCATTATGAAGCTAAATCAGCAAAGAATGGAATTGGAATAGTTAAATTAATGGGTAGAGATGCAGGATTTATTGCATTATATGCATCTGTTGCATCAGGAGATGTAAATTTAGTATTAATTCCAGAAGTTGATACTCCAATTGAAGAGATTCTTAGAATGACAGAAAGAAGATTAATGTCAAAAGGACATATAGTAATTGTTATTGCTGAAGGAGCATGTCAAAACCTTAAACCAAAAGATCTTGATCTTGGTAGTGATAAGTCAGGAAATATTGTTCATTGGGATGCTGTTACGTATATTAGACAAGAAATAGACAAATATTTAGAGAATAAAAAAATAGAACATACTATTAAATTTGTTGATCCATCTTATATGATTCGTTCTGCACCTTGTAGTGCTGCTGATGCACATTTCTGTTTATGTTTAGCTAATGCAGCAGTTCATGTTGCTATGGCAGGAAAAACAGGATTAGTTATTTGTCATCACCATAATAACTTTGTTTCAATACCAATTGAAAGGGCATGTTATTATTTAAAAAGAGTAAATCCTGAAGGGCCAATGTTATCAATGATGAAATCGATTGAAATGGTAGAATAAAATATTCTTTCTTTTTTAATTATTTTTTTGTCTTTTATTAGAATTATTTTTAATAAAAAAATTATTCTTAATTAATGATTTTAATTAAAAATATATATTACAACAAAAGAGAAAAATACAAGAAAGTTTTTTATATTAAATATATTAATCTTGCTAGAAAAAAAGAATATCTTTTATGATAGTCTTCCATGATTATATTGACAATTTTATACTATTAAAAGTGATGTGGTTTTAACTTCTTTTTTAATAATCTAATTTCTTATATTTAAAATAGATAACAAAATAACTTACTAATAAAATGACTATTATTTATATAGCCAAACACACAGAAATTTGTTTATTAATAAGTATGGTTTCTTCTTTCTCATAACAAAAATTTATAATAATTAAAATATCAAAAATTCTCATATTATTCTCTTTTGTATTAAAAAAATAATTTAAGGTTAAATAATTACTAAAAACAGTATTTATTTTTATACTTTTCTCAATTGTTGATTTCAATTTTTGTTGGTTTATTGTTATTATGATTCCAAATATTATTTTTATTCTCAATTATTTATTTTTATTTCCTTTTTAATCTTTTTTTGTTGAAAAAGACTTATTTAAGAATTAATTTATATTTATTTTATTTATAAGATACAAATATCGTATTTTTTTGTAATGAACATACCCCATAACATACTGTGAGTATACAATAACAAAATATTTAAAAAATGGCATATTATAAGTATTAATTCTATTCTTTTTTATTTCTTCTTCAATTAATTTGGTTTAAACAAATTTTTCAATTATTATGTTTTGTATCTTTACTATGGCTTAGAATATTAAACCAAATTGAGACAATTCCTATTTAAAAAAATTCTATAAATCTTTTGTCAATAATTCAGTAATGAATGAAAGTTTAAAACATAATAAAAATGATCTAATTAATTATTTGAGAGATGTAGTATTTTTTTAATTTTTTTATTGAATTTTTTGATAAGAGAAAAATATATAGAATAATAGAAATGAATATATCCAATATTTCAAAGATGTTAAGATTTTTTTTTTTTTAATTCTTTCAATAAGTTAATTTAATTTAATAGAAGAAAAACATTATAAAGAAGACATAATAAAAATACGATAAGAAAAAATTTATTTTAAGGAATCAAAACTGAAAAAAGAAGAAAAATAAAACATAATAGATTGATACAAGATGTCAAGAGAAGGGCATAGAGTTAGATATAAAGAATATAAATGTACATTTCCAGGATGTAATGAACCAGCAAAAACAAAATATAATTGTATTTCACATGTTTGGGATGGACATTTGAAATTATTAGCACATGAATATCATGGAATTGCGTATAAAAGCTTACCTGAAGAGAAACGAAAAGAGGTTAAATCAAAATGTTTAGAATATATTACTTTTGTAATTGATACAGTTAATCAACGAAAAAGAAAACCCTATAAAACAGGATTAGCTGATACTATTGAAAGTACTAAAGAAATAGAAAATAATTATCAGATTATATCAATTGCACCTTTGTGTAATGAAGATTTTATTACAATTCAAAGTGTTAATAAAAACATTAAAAGATTATGTATTGCAGGTGAATTATTTAGTGAAGCAGGGTTTTTTCAAAGAAGTGATCAAAAAAATAAAAATGAAATTCAAAAAATTACTGGGGCATTAGAACAACTTAAAAATGTTGTAGGATATTCTTTTGTTTATAAAAATGATGAAAATAATCAAAAATATGGATTTATGGCTCAAGAATTACAAGAAATATATCCTAATACAGTCAAAGTACTTCCTGATGGAACATTAAGTATTGATACTGTTGCATTACTTCCTTATATTGTATCATCTTTAAAAGAATTATACACTTCTATAACAGAATTAAATAAAGTAACTGAAATTACACAAAAAATTAAAGATATTCTTAAAGAAGTTTTAGAACCACAAGAAATAGATGAAAATGAATTGTTTATTGGTAAATTTGGATTAGGTCCAAAAAAAATAATTTGGTGGATAGCAATGATATTTACAATATTATCAATTATAGAAGTAATTTGTATTCCAAATTTTGGAATGATTTGGGTTTGGACTATTGTTGTTTCATTTATAAATTGGTTATCTTATTGGAAAAGTGATTGGAATGATGAAGCAATTAACAATAATATTATTAAGTTTAATAAAGAAGTTATTTTTAATATTATTACTAGATGGTATATAATTATTTCAATTGGTTTAATAGCTTTTTCAATGACATTTTTAATGGGATCTACATTACAAATTTATATGAGTATTGTTATTGCTTTTAATTCATTAATTGTTGGACTCACTTTTTATGATATGACAAAGAAATTAGCAGGTTATTTAATGATATTTTCAATTATTCTTGCAATACTCTTATTGGTTATACTAAGTTTTATACAACCATCTTATTTTTGTCTTCTTTCCACAAGAAAACTTACTCAATCTAATCGTTATGTTTTTATTAAAGAACAACCTCCATGGAATTGTATGGCTCCTTCATTACACTCAAACTCATCTTCCCTTATTGTTGATTATACCAAGCCATTCTCTTTAAAAGCAATTGATTTTGGAGTGACGGCACGTGTTGAATTGAAATGTGAGAATGGTATTTCGTTTACTTGTGGAAATGTTGAGTTGGAATCTTCATTGTAACTAAGTTTGTGTTATTCAAATAAAAATGAAAATAATTACACAACAATTTAATTTATCATCGGAAATAAGAACTTAAAATTGATAAAAATAACAATATTTGAAAAGAGTTCTCAAATACTATTTATAAATACTTAAGAATGATAAAAATAAAACTTAAAAACTACAAAAAAAAATTTAAACGGAAGAGAAAGAAATGAATTTAGTGAGTGTAGAAGATATGGTTTGTGTGGTTGATAAAATTCTAGATGAAACAAATGACTCTTCATTTTGGGAAGAAACAATCCAATCACAAGTTAAAGAGAAAGATAGAAAGATATCAATTGATTCTAATATTAGTTATCTTGATGAGAAAGAAAAGTTTGTATTTTGATTTCTATTCATTTTTATCTTTAAACAGAAAAAAATTTAATTCCATTTCTTAATAAAAATAATCTCTCAGTTTAGTTTTTATTAAAACCAAAGGAATAATTGATATTAACTATCAACAATTAAATAACTTTATGCAAGGGACTATTTACTATAGACTTAATCCTTTTGTTGTTAAATATAATGAAATAGAAACAACTTCTCAATACTCCATTTTTGAAGTTGAATATAATATTTTTGGTTATAATAAGGTTGCATTTTGTTGTAAAAAACAAAGTATTATTAAAAATAATAAACATTATTATTTTATTCTTAATATTACTGATGACAGGTCTAATGCAATTCCTTTTAGAGACTCTCAATATCTTTATCGTTGTTTTGTATTCGAACAATTGTCTTATGGAATAAAAATAACTGATATTTTTAAAATACAACCTACTCCTTGGTGTCATCCTATAGATAACTTAATGGGAGCAAGAAGACAGACACAAGTATCTATTCGTTTCTTTAAAATGTTATTAGATATTTCAGGGTTAATGACAGAAGAAATACCATTATATATAGAACTTGAACGGAATGGATTTGAAAAGATATTAACTCAAACATTACCAGGAAAAGAAGTTTATTCAAATTGTAATTATAAAATATCTGAAATATCAAGGTTTAAGGGAGATATTAATTTTCAATGTGTTGGAATATTTAGAAAGAAGACAAATTTAAAAATGAATATTGAAACAATGATTAGATTAGTATTTCAAAATCGTTGTCAAATTATTGAAAAACAAGATAATTACTTTCTTCTAAAGAAAGGGCCAAGTAAGTATTATGATGCAACGCCTGATACAATAATTTTTTCTTTATTTATTTATTCTGATGAATGTTCTATGTTTCATTATCATTCAGCACCAATAGAAAGATTAAATAAAAGCAATTCAAAAATGTTTTTCTTTAATTCAGCATATGTTTTATTATCAAAAGATATTAATGGATATTGGAATGTTCAATACTTTTTTGATGTTTCTGAAAAAACAACTGAACTTTCTATGGAAGTTATACACACTTTCTTAAATAATATGGAAAATAGTATTTATTCTTATTCATCATTGTTTAATGATACAAAAGAACCTTTTAAATATTCTACACTTCAATTTGAATTAGAAAATAAGAAAAGTATAGAAGGAACATATTTTTTTGTAAATTTAAATCATACAATATTACAAAAAATATGTTTGTATTTAACTGAAAATGATATTAAAAATCTTAAAGCTACAAACAAACATATTAAAACTATTATTAATTATGTATTTTCTTCTGAAGACAATCCAAATAATAAATGTTCTAAATCATTAGATGATAACTTATTAGTCCTTAATTCTAAAGCAATACCAGTTCTTCCTTCTTTATTTAATTTAGTAACTACTTTTAATGAACCAACTGACAATAAATCAACAGTACTTCTATCAAATAAAAGTATTTGTAGACTTCCTCTTCAAAAACAATCTTCATTGTTACCATCAATTAACTCGCTTTATTCAACAACCTCTGAAAAAGATATTCATAACCAATCCTCATTTCAAGTATTAGAAGGTCATTCAAATGTAATAAATTCTATTGATATTCATTCAAATAATGTTGAATTTATTAGTGGAAGTTCTGATAGAAAATTAAAAGTATGGGATACTACACATCAACCAATAACAAATAAAGTTTTTATAGGTCCAAATAGTTCTATCGTTAGTTCTGTCTATCATAATAATTTTATTTGTGTTGGTTATAAGTGTGGTACAATTAAATATATTGATACTGAAGATATTCATAAGTCAATTATTTTTGATTCTTTAACAGGTAAAATTAATGGATTTTTACCATTACAAAACAATTCTTTTGTGGTTTGGAATGACACAGTAGAAATTATTAATTATTTTAATTTTAAGCAAACAATAATATATACTTACTCGAACCATTTAAGGAAAGTTACTGTAGTAAAACAATTTATTCCTTCAGTTTATATTTCAGGATCTGTTGATAGAACAGTTCATATATGGGACATACGTTCTCATTTTCCTACTATTGGAGAAATTAAACCTCATAAATCAGGAGTATTACAATTAGGAGTAATAGACTCATACCATTTTTGCTCTATTGGAAATGAAAAAGTTTTGATGGTTTGGGATATTCGTAATCTTAAATCTTCGAGCCATTATATTGAAAATAAAGTTGATGCTATTTGTTGTTCTAATAATCAAATCATTTGTGGATGTGATGATTCAACAGTTAAAATATATAATTCTTCTTATCAACTCATTAAAACACTAACATGCCCGTTGAGAGGAACTAACTTTACTGTCATTTCAACAAAAAATAATTCTCTTGTTGCAGGAAGTAGAAATGGGAATTTATTTTATGTTACGGGATTGTAAATGAAATGATTTAGAAATATATTTTTCTTTGGAACTTTTTATAGTTTTTAATCAACTCAACAAATAAATAATATTATATTAAATTAAAAAAATAAATTATTAAATAAAACTATTTTATTTACAAGATCAAATTTATTCAACAAGTAAATATCCAAAGTATGAATGAACGAATTGAATCACTTTTTATTGAACCAGTTATTGACATAACCCAATTAAGAAAAATGATGTATTCAGGAAAACTTCAGGGTAACTCTGCTTTGAGACCAAAAGCATGGCAGATTTTATTAGGATATTTACCCCCAAATCAGTTTGAATGGGGATTAGAAATTCAACAAAAATCACAACAGTATAAAGTTAATACTCAACAATTATTACCATCAATTATTGGAAGAACTGATTTTCTTGAAAAAGAAGTACAACCAATTAGACCTCGTCCAACAAGACTTTCAAATAACCCAAAAATTATTATTTTTGATAGAAATGATTCTTCTCCTTTGTCCCATGATGATAAAACACCAAATAGTTCATTTGACACACCCCGTAATGAAAGTGTTTTTGCTATTCCTGAACGTTCTCATTCAACAGTCTCTCGTCTTCCTTCACCAAAATCTTTTTTTGATAAAATTGTACGCCCACGGTCATCATCTACCTCATTAGATCAAAGAAAGAAAATTGATCAAGATGCTGTTAAATTAAAATACCAAATACGTATTATTGATAATGACATTCCCAGAACACTTACTATTTTAAAAATTGAAAACGAAAATAATATTGTTAACCATAGAAATGTTATTAAAAGGATATTGTATTGTCTTGTTGCAATTGATAAAATTAAATATACACAAGGTATGAATGAACTTGTTTCAGTATTATATTATGTATTTGCTCTTCATTCAAATAATCAAGATTTTGAAGGTGCAGAGGTATCGAGTTATTACTGTATGAAAGGTTTATTAAAAGAATATTCACATTATTTTAATGAAGAGGAAGACGATAAGGATGAAGGTATTAATAAAGCAATGAACAGTGTTATGACTCGTTTAAAAGAAGAAGATAATGAATTATTTGAGTCATTACAAGAAAAAGGAATTGAAAATGCATTATTTTTATTTAGATGGATGTCATTATTATTAACAGAAGAATTACCAATAAATTCTTTAGTAATGTTTTGGGATAGAATTCTTGCTAATTTAAAAAGTAGACAATACCTTCAATGTTTTTGTGTTTCAATGATCATATCAATAAAAGATGAATTAATGGAAAAAGAATTTGATGAAGCACTGAGATTGTTACAACATTATCCTTTAAAGAATTTTAATGACCTTGATTTAAATGCTAAGCTTATGATTAAATTCCCTAAAAAATCAAAAACAACAAGACCAACTTATGTTGATCAACCTATTCAACCACAGTTCAAATTCCTTAATAAAGATGATGATAAAGAAGATGGGACTGGTTGTATTTTTGAAGTCCCTCATCGTTCTGTTTCTTCTTTAATCTAATTTTCTATAGTTGTTAGTTATATTTTTTAAATTGTAAAAAGTTATAACAAATAAGTTTAAATTAAATTATAATAGTTCAATCTTCAAGACTTTCAAATAATAAGGAAAGTTGTTTTTTTCTTGTTTTAGTTGCATTTCCTTTAAAAGCAGTTGAAAACATTGCCGTCCGTTCTCCATTTATGGCTTTTCTCAATATGAATTCCCTTGTTTTTTCATCATGACTGTAATATGTTGTTGTCATGAATGGAGGAAATGGATTAACAGATGACTTACAACAAACAGTAATAAAATATCCCATATTATCTTTTGTATTTATTTCCGGTTGAACAACAATGAATATATGATTAAATTGTGAAGTTAACCACTTAGGATTAAATTGGTCTTGCCAATTATTTCCTTGTTCTTTAAATATAATGACAACAACATCATTTCCAATATGTCTTTTCTTTTCTACTCTTTGAAGGTCTCCAGATTGTTCCGGTAATAATGTAGATACATGAAACATAATTTCATAACTTAGATATTCTGTAAAATAACTATAAGTTCCAGTAGAACCACTCGCAACATCTAATCCACCTCTATACTTATTAAATCCATGTAACTCAATTTTGTTTCCAAGTAAGTTCAAAAAATTATAAAAAGCAGGACATCCTTCAGTATTTCCAAACATTTGATCTTCATTATTTTGACCAGACTTACAATATAATATTCCAAATTTATAATGATTAATCGAATTCATTATTTCAATCCTTGCTATTTCATTTTCAAACTTTTCTTTATTTTGCTTACTCAATTTGTAAAAATCTCCATGACTTAAATCAGGAAATGCGACTTTAAATTCTTTAACTTTTTCTAATTCATTTGGTAGTAAACATCGAATCTCTCCTTTCTTATTCATTACAATCCCTCTTCTAAAACCATTATGTGTTGCTGGAATAATACTAAGAGCTGTTGGTTCTTCTGTTAAAATATAATGTTCTGCATTAGGATTTCCTTTTACAAACTTGTTAAAGTAATTAAAGTCTGATGTTATATCTACAATAAGATAATCTTTTAAATCAGTATTTGTAGTACATGCACCCTCTCCTATTTCAATGTAATATCCATCTTCAATACATGATGTAGTGACAAGACTTTGTTCTTGCCAATTTTTAGGATATTTCATTTCCCATTTTTCAGTTGGTACAACAGGACTACTCCATTCATCAAAAAATAGTTGTTCCTTTTCAATTTCATCAATTAAATCAAAGTATTCCTTTTCTGAACTTACTTCTCGTTTGTTCAAAAGAGGAAGGGGAGGATTTAATGGGTATAATGCCTTCTCACTTTTACCATCAAACTTACTTAATGGATTTGAAGATGAACCTGGTCTCATACTAATGGTTATTGAAAATCCATCAGGTTCACTAATAATAATATCTTCTTCTTTCTTTCCAAATAATCCAAACTTTTTTTTTTTCTTCTTTTTTTCAGTAGAAACGTTAAAAGAGCTTGGAACTTCTTTTAATTTACCATATGTATCACTAAATGCACGTGGTCTTTGTATAATTTCTTGACTCTGTAAAGGTAGTGCTGCATCATCTTTATGTAACTCTTCTTTATGAATAGTATCAGTGTTTCTTTTAAATTCAATTTTCTTTTCAGTTATTGGTTTAGAACCTAAATTATGAACAGAGTCATTTGACGATTCACTCACCCAAGATGGTTTTTCAACATCATTTAGTCCATTTATCCTTGGAGATAATGGTGGTGGTGGTGCTCTATGTTTTGGTGATAAAAGAGTTGAAGGTGGTGGTGGTGCAGCTGGTTTTGGTATTGACGTTTGTCTAAAATGAGTTATTTGAGTAGAAGATTCTGTAGCTGATTCATTTGTTGTTTCGTAATGGAGATTATCATTTTGTGTTGTCATTTCTTCTGATTATTTTCAAGTTTTTTTTAGTGTTTTTCATTTTGACTTTTTAGTATTAATTTGTGTTATTGGTTAATCTGTTTTTCATTATTGTAAAGAACTTGGAAATAACTTTTGGAAATATTTTATAATATTCTAATCTTTGCAAGGAATTATTGAAGAAAATAATTAAAAAAATGGAAGCATTTTAATTCTTTGTGTTAGTATGAATAAGTATTGATCTTTGTTCTTTGAAATATTAGAAATAAACAAACGAAGTTTCGTTAAATAAAGCAAATCAAAAAGAATATAAAATATTTGTATACAAAGTAAATTTAACTATTCTGGTACTAAAAAAAGAGTTTACCATTTTAAAATAGAAATTAATAAAACAGAGTAAATTGCAACAAAAATAAGAATTTGTTATTTTAAGAAAAATAAAATTTTATTGGTTTTACTCAATCAATGTTGAAATAAAGGTGGCATTATAAGAACTTATAACATCCATATTATGGATTTTGAAAAGAAAGTTCGTCTCTTCTCAAAAATAATAAGAAAAAGTCTCCTTTTCATTTAAAAAATAACAACTATCTCTAAAACTAGATTCTTTAAACCTTATTTCTTTAAGTTCATTTCTACAGTTTTAGATCAATCAGTAAATAAAGAAATTGAATTTTTTTCATTCTAGTGCAATTCTGTTTTGAGAAGTAGACTAACTTTATGAAGTCTTTTTCATTTTTGTATTCCTATGAAAATTCATTTTGTTTGTGGCTTAAACCAATTTTTGAGACTATTCAACAAATATTCTAGTTTTTGATGAATTTACTACTTTGAACTATTGAACCACTCATTAATAAATACAGTTTTGTGGTGGCTGTGTCATTCCCTCTAATGATATCTTGTAATATTTCATTTTCCTTGAAATGAAATTTTATATTCTAAAAATAATAAATCAAATGATATAGATTTTTCTAAAAAAAGGAAGACAAACGAATTATTGAAATGTTTTTCTTTTGGAATTTACTAAAAATTAATGGAAAGATCCTTAAAACAGTTAATTATGATTAGTTCTAAAATTAGAAACTTCGTTCAATGGTTTTCATTAATCTCCTCTCCATCCAATACCACATGAATTGTAGACTTCCTTTCCAGTACTATCTACTACCCAATAATGGTGAGAATTTTTATCAAACGTATCACCGACATGATATGGTGTTCCGTAATGTTTAGCAATATCAATTGCCAATTGTTCTTTCCATAGACATAGCAA